TCAATCATTTTTATTTAATAATTATTTATTATTTATCTCATAATTACTATTTAAAATATCGTTTTAATATTTTCGCGTATATAGCGCATTGCATATATGACAATTAATAAAAATAACTAATATGTAATTAAAATAGAATCATGTAAAATTGAAAGACAAAGATTGTTGTTGAAGAAAATTTGGTTAAATGAAACAAATGTAAGAATGATACAATTATTTGTTTGAAATAATTTTGAACAAAATGAATTTATGCAAACCTTTCTCTAGCAAATGATATTTTATTAAATTAAATTCGTATTGAAAATATTTTCAATCCTAAAATTTTTAATCATAATTAAAGTAATATTTCTATTTGAATAATTAACAGATAAATTCAAATTTGGTATTTTATCTCATTTAAAAATATCACTAATCAAATGAATTTCAAATATCATAATATAATTATAATAGAACTATAATCAATTGTCTACGTTATAGAAACAATAACGAGAATAACGCGAGGTAGATATCCTTTCTGAAATTGCAATTATAAACGCAGAGTATTATTTAGCGCGTGCAATTGTTGCGGTGATTCAAACACTTGGTCATATGTCCACGTACTGATAAAACGTTTACCGGTTCACCGGCGCAAATGTTATCTGTTTGCAGCAAAACACCCTCTGCGTAAGCTTTATACGCATGCTTCCTTTATTATCGCTTCAACTGATCAAATATTATAATTTTGTTGGATCATTTAAACCTTAAAATTTTATTATACGGATCTTTCTATTTTGATAATAAAATCGTCTCGCAATAATCATAATAATAAGTTATTTATAGCAATTTTTAATATTTCAATTTTTCAAAAACAGAAATATTACGTATCCAAATACTTTATGTTATGCTCACATTCTTTTGAAGATCATTTAGAAATCACATGAAGATTATAAAGATCATAAATCATTTATTCAAAGTCATTTAAAGCAAAATGATTATTTAGAGATCACATGAAAAATATAGAGATCATAAATCATTGCTCAAAGTCATTTGAAGAAAAATGATCATAAAAATTGTATCTGTAATAATCAAGTCATTTGAAAATTGTACATGTTATACGAATATTATTGGAAGGTTCAAAACTAATTTCAAAAAATGATTTATTTAATTTAAAAATCTCTTTATTATTGAAACTTATATACTTTGATAAATTAATTATCTCATCTTTATTTTTTATATGTATATAAAAAAATAATTTTTTGTATTTTTATTAATAAATTTTTATATTAATTTTTGAAAATCTCAATTATCTTATTTTTAATATTTATTGTTTTATTGATTGACTTCTGAATCTTTCATTCATAACTCATAAATTTATTATAAGTATATCATGTGACTGATATTCGATTTGCATAGATAACAAATCGTCATCAAGATTTTAGCCAAGTTTGAAGAGAATAGATAGTGGATCAATATTCGATTATTGTATCACAAATGTAAAAATCGAATCTAACTAGTGATTATATATAAAATTACTTACTTTGAATATTTTTTTTTTTTAAGGGATGATGACATGATAATACATGACATTCACGATTTAATGTCAAGTATATTTTAATATATTTTTGAATAAATGATTGCGAAAGTTTAAAATATCATCTTATGATTTAATGATTTAATGAACTTTTCTATGCTTTCTTATTGCATTGAATAATTAGATTTCAACTAAAAAGTTAATTTTCCAGAACAAAAGACAAAGGTTATTTTCCGAAATAAAACACGACAAAAAGAATGGGATTCATTTCCCTAAATTTCCACGCAAGATGAATCCTTTTCTCGACAATCACCAAGGGAAAGGTTGAATTTCTCCTTTCGCAATGAACTTCGCGAATGAGATTTATTTAGGTAGTTCTATTTATTGTTTCACCCAGAGCCGGGTCTTTCTAAAAATAGACATACGAGAGAGAGATCCCTCGTAGGATATCACAAAACCAAAAGTTTTTCTCAGAGACTAGGGGGCGTCAAGTAGATGAAACATCTGCAAAAGCAGATGGTGGCCACGTTGTCGTTCGTTGGAAGATAGAAGATTGAAAAAAAGAGGAAAGAAAGATGGCAGATGGCACGTGCTCACTTGTTATCTTATTTTCTCATGCAATTTTGAATCTTCTTAAATTGCTCTATTCGGTTAGGCTTCTATTTTATTTGATGTTTAACCACCGAATGCTAGGCAATTTTATAGATGTTTATCGAACAATATTTCATTTCATGGGTGCCATCCATTTACATTTTTCCTGTTTTTAGAATCGAATTTTTGTCACAATATAAATAAAAATTTTTAAAATTATTAAGTTAATTTTAAATTATTAAGTTTTCAGAACTTTCATGATTTTATTTTATTTTTTTATTTTATTTTTTAATCCAGTATATTTAATCCACATATACTTTAATTATATTTTATCAAATTTTATGCATATAAAAGTGTCCTAATATCAAATTTTCATTATCTTGGAATTTCTATTATTTTATTTTTCCAAAACGTTTACGAACGACTTATAAATATATTAAATATATTAAATATTTAAGTGATTTTAAAAATACTTAAAGCGATTTTTAACGACATTTAAAGAATTCATTTTAGTAAATTAGATTGACTCATTTTTTTAACTTTAATTCATAATTTTAATGAGTTTGAAATATATTGTTAAGAATATTATTTTAAATATCTTTTTTCTTTACAAATACGTGAATAGATTTTGGTTTTCGAGATATTCACAAAAATATTTTTCTTATGTTCTGGCATGAATAATTGATACAGACTCTTAAGACGGAACTTTTCTAAATATAATCAGAATTATTCTAATAGAATTCAAAAAATAATAATTTTAAGTTTAGAAATACTGGTTAGGAATACACTTATTTATATAAAGTTGATTTTAAGCCATTTTAAATAAATCGATGTTGATTTTTCTACCCATAGCTCCGATGAGCAGAATCATTATCTACAAAGCATGTTTTACGTATCGGATATTATATATAAACTGAAAGAGCTCATCAAAAGAAATTGATTGCGATTTTTTATGATCATTATGTTATCTGATTATTGTATCTAATTTGTATGTATATAATAATTATAAAAAAATGATCTGATCAATTTATAATTTTATAATTTTTGGAAAAATAAAAAAAATTGAATTTTTAATATCAATGAAAAATCTGAAAGATTATGAATTTTTTAAATCATAATCATTAAAATATATCATATGCACATAACGAAAAAAATTTTAGAATAACTTGATATATAAGAATTTATAAACTTTATCAAATAAATTCAGAATGGATCGACAAATCGAAAAATATCATTGCAGGAGCCATAGGCCGCAGCATATTATACTGTTAATCATTGGACAACTAGAATCCAAGATCGATATTATATGGAATTATTTGATGATCGCTGGAATAGATTGGTGAAATTTTTCAATTATTTTTAATTGGTACGGCAAGAATTTGATCTTGTTAAAAGGTATAGAAAAATTAACACGCGTGCTTTGTGTCACGAATCGAATATGATAAAATTTTCAAAAAAAAAAAAAAGAATTTTTGTTTAAGAGAATTTTCACTTTATATTTTCAAGAAATCGATTATTTACAGTTTTCTACTTTTTATGATGCCATTTCGATTTTTATACTCATTATGTATACTCGATCTTTATCTTAT